ATGACGCCACGAAAAAGAGAGCACGGAATCCCCATGCCGATCCACGGAACGGCTGTGGGCCAGTTCCAGGAAGCTCATGGCCTGGAATTGGCCCATGGGCCTTAGGTTGCTGACCTCTGATTTAAAGGCACCCTCTAGTTGGACAGTTTGGACCGTGCCTGGTTTAAAGATGCATTTAAAGCGCTAAGATACCACTTTCAACAGCCATGGCTTCCCCCAAAGAATCATGGGAACTGTAGTTTGTGAAGGGTGCTGAAAGTTGTTAGGAGATACCTATTCCCCTCGCAGAGCTACAATTCTCCAAGTTCCCTGGGAATAGAAATTGACAGTTAAATCACTCAGGGTTTAATTTCAATTGCTCAACAGGCCTCAGGAACAAAGACTAGATGGAAAACTAAATGTCACTCATTTGGTTTCCATACAGCTCTGTTGGCAGGGGTCTACATAGGAGAAAGGATCTACTCAGGAGTAGGCATGGGTGACAGATGCAGTATGTATTTAAAGCTGAATTTATCACATTTGCACTTTCCGAAGCAATATGCAAACTGAAACACAGCCATCCTTTGAAACTTGCACTTATCCAAATTCTTCCATGCAGTTCTCTAACTGAGCAGTGTTTGCAAAAATGCATGTGTCAGAAGAAAGAAAAAGGAAGGTTTTAGTGAAAATAACCTACAGTGATGCATTGTATTAAGGAAAAGAGCTTGCAGAAATGCATCTATTAGTCAAAACTGCATATAAAAATGTGTTTCTTAGGAGAAATCCACACTAAAACTGATGAATTTCCATGAGGATTTGAAAAACAATTGCTGCAGAATGTGGAGAAATGAATTTAAGATTGGAAAAATGAAAAAATGGGAGAGAAGTGACGTTGACAGATACTTCCATCCCTTCTCAGGAGGAAGAAGACCCAGCTGCAGGCAACAATCTAGCAGAGTAGCAACGGCTGTAGAAGTCGCTCTGTCTCCTCTGGACCTTTGCTGGTTTAACAGCTCCCTTCAGAGCTCATTAATGTTCCTGGTTCCAGTGCTGGTCATGGGCAGCAGATCTATATGGGAGAAGATGCTTGTTCAAGTGCCTAGGTCAGTCTTAAAGGGCTAAACATGTCATCACAAGCACCTTGAATTGAGCTCTGTAGTATCGCCTGCAAATAAATACCAACTGAAAGTTTGATTTGTCTAGGCAGGAGACTGCCCTGAAGTTGAGAGAGGAGACAAAAGGGACAAATAACAAATCAACTAGCCTGGAGGGCAGAATGTAAGAAAATGAAAATAAGGGCAGAATGTAGGCCTAAGAGCTAAGGAGCCTTAAAAGTAACATAATATTTGATGTAGTATTTTACGATGAGCTGAATAGGAGATAAAAGAGAACACTAGCATCATAATAAATGTGTACATGACCTTTATGGAAGTTACTGCCTTTGCATTCATTAAGTAAACCATATGCAAGGCTTGCAATTCTTTTAAATCTATCTCAGTATTCTCTGATCTTTATTTAAGAACAGCAACCCCTGTGCAAATAAATCTAAATAGGTGTGACCGTGTTGGTAAACAGAGGATTTAAGCTTTTTTTGTTTTGTTTTTCTTTTTTGCATATTCGAAGAGACCTTTAACATGCAAGGGCAGAAATAATTGGCCAGAATAGGGTTTTTGTTGTTGTTGTTTTTGGCTTATAGGTAGCGCTGCAAGTAACATTAGGGTTTATCTACACTTAACTTTTGCCCTGCTCTTTCCGGACAAAAGTCTGCACTTTTAACACTCTGTCTTTTTTTGCCTTGACATTTCCCAGCAAAAAAACAAACAAAAACAGCTCTTTAAAGCTGTATCGGAGCAAAAGTCAATCGGGTTTTCTACAGAGCTTTAAATTGCAGGCCGTGTCTGGAAAGAGCGGAGGAAAGGTAGGGGTGTGGATAAGACCTTTAGTCTCATATAGTCAATAAAGATCAGGACTTTTAAAAAAGGAGGAAAAATGTACTACTGAAAATAAATGCAATTTGAGGCATTGCACATACAACTGGAAACAATGGGTCCAGTTGGGTCTGTTCACCCAAACTTGCCATGGTGATGCATGCGTTGCGCTATATGGAGATGGGATTATTGTGATGTGTGACACCACCTTTGAAGAGTCTCTGGATCCTTCAATTGATCAAGGCTGCTCACAGAAACATGTCTGAGCTTATTGCTCCCATTTGAAGCTACTGCAGATAAAGGTAAAGGTAAAGGGACCCTTGACCATTAGGTCCAGTCATGGCCAACTCTGGGGTTGCAGCGCTCATCTCACTTTACTGGCCAAGGGATCCAGCGTACAGCTTCTGGGTCATGTGGCCAGCATGACTAAGCCGCTTCTGGCGAACCAGAGCAGCGCACGGAAACTCCGTTTACCTTCCCGCCTATTTATCTACTTGCACTTTGACGTGCTTTCAAACTGCTAGGTGGACAGGAGCTGGGACCGAGCAATGAGAGCTCACCCCGTTGTGGGGATTTGAACCGCTGACCTTCTGATCAGCGAGTCCTAGGCTCTGTGGTTTAACCCACAGTGTCACCCACGTCCCCTACTGCAGATAGAATCATAGAATTGTAGAGTTAGAAGGAATGTCAGGGGCTGTCTAGTCCAACCCCCTGCAATGCAGGAAGTTGGACTTGATTTTTTGTGTGAGCCTACTGTCAAAAGTGACACAACATGTGTGGTGTAGTGGTTAAGAGCGGTGGACTCATAATCTGGTGAACCGGGTTCACTTCCCCACTCCTCCACATGCAGCTGCCAGGTGACCTTGGGCTAGTCACACTTCTTGAAGTCTCTCAGCCCCACTCACCTCACAGAGTGTTTGTTGTGGGGGAGGAAGGGAAAGGAGATTGTTAGCTGCTTTGAGACTCCTTAGTGTAGTGATAAAGCGGGATATCAAATCCAAACCCCTCCTCCTCCTCCTCCTCCTCCTCCTTCTTCCTCTTCTTCTTTTTCTTCTTCTTCTTCTTCTTCTTCTTCTTCTTCTTCTTCTTCGGATGTGACCAGTGGTGGAGTTAGCCGCCGGGCACCTGGAGTGGCGCACATGCGAGCCACCCGGGGGGGGGGGCAATCGGCGCAGAATGTTGAGAATTCCATTCCACCTTAAGGAACAGACGTGGGACTGTTGCGTGTCACATATCTGTTACACATACCAGCATTGCATGCTGGGAACTCCCATTTGTGTATAGCTTTCTGTTTTGCTTTGAACATGAAGGAGATCAGACATGTTTCCTTTTGTCCTGATCTACGCTGAATAAAACCTGCTTGTGAATATGCTCACACAGCCTCACGTGCCACTTCTGTTTGCCCAGTGTTTTCTCTGCTGATTAGCGTGCTCAGTCTTCTAAAGCCTGGGTCACTGATTTATGCTGCACCAAGGACAGGAGTTCGCCCGGCACACCGGCTGGTGGGCTGGAGCCAGCTGGGGGCCTGCCAATTGCCCCCATTGCCTTGTGTGCATGCCAACATGGAGACTGACACCCAGGGAGGTGGCACAGCGAGTGGCACCCATTGAGGGCGATTGGCACCCAGGGGGGCGATGGGTGCGGGTTACAGAAGCTTCAGGTTGCGCAATTTCGGGTTGGTCACCGCGCCGAACCCGGAAGTACTGAAACGGGTTACTTCTGGGTTTTGGCGCCTGCGCATACGCAGAAGCACTAAATCGTGCTTTGCACATGCACAGAAGTGCTGAATTGCGACCTGCGCGTGTGCAGACGCAGCACTGCAGGTTGCAAACGCTGCAGGTTGCGAACGTGCTTCCCGCACGGATCACGTTCGCAACTCGAGCATCCACTGTAGACAGCATGACCTTGACAGAAGAGATAAGAGAACCAGATTAAGCCAGCTGTACTCAGTTTCTCTGAAGGAATAACCCAAACACCATGAACCTTCTGCTTGTTTCTTTCACACAGAGAAGCTTCCAGAACCCTCCTGAATTAATTAGAATAGGAAAGATCTCTACATATCAAATCAATACTTTCTGTACTAAGAAATGCAAACGGACAGGTTTAACTCTGCGCTGTGTGAGGAAGTAGCTCTTCCTCCTCTTCTTGTTGTTCGTTTGATAGAAAACGTCTAATCTACTTTGCAGCTCTGATGTTTCTGTCTCCTGAAGGGAGCTTCTAGATTATTTTGCACCTCAGGGAAAGCCTCCCTGGAAAGCTGCCGGAGTGTGCATCAATCAGCTGGTGTGATAGGTAGTTTAGGATTCATGACCAAGCATAATGCTATTGTTGGAACAGGCTCTCGGAATAACTTCAACAATGTGTGTGTGTGTGTGTGTGTGTGTGTGTGTGTGTAATTGGAGGTGCTCTGATATCCTCTATTGCACCAATAGGCTCAATGAAGTTAGCAGAAGGTATTATTCCTATCTAACACCTTCCCCAGCTTTTAAATTTCCTTCTCCCCTTTTCTTTTGCTGTGCCTGCAAAATCATAAATAGTTTCTATGCATATATATAAAAGCCAATAAGATGGGGAGATCTTACCTAAATAAGTCAGGGAACTGATACGAAACGGCAAGTCCAATGTTGTTACATCTCTGTGGAACACCCAGAAACAGCTAATATCTCTCAGTGACAACACTGACATGAGCGTGCTTGATGGGCCAGTGTGTACGTGACAGCTGAGATGTGTCAACATGTGGAATTCAGACAGACAATGGACTGAGACAACCTACTTGCATACAAATTCTCTGAGACACTGGAGTGTCAGTGGGTGGGCACAGATGACCGTCTACTCAGCGGTAGTTCAGACATCACTGTAAGACTCAACATAGTATATCACCATCAGCATCAATCCATTTCCAGATACTGTACATTTTGAGAAATCAGCTGCTGGCAAGGCAAGGAACATCAGGCTGGTCATCTGGGCAAAGAGGACACATTCCTTCTCCCCATTCAAAAAAAAAAAGTTGGTGGGAGCTGCCCCTTGATGAGATCATCATGTAGCCAGATCTGATTGGCTAAGTGATGCTGTGATGTCACCAAGGTCACGCCAGCTGGGATAGCTCAGTTGGTAGATCACCAGACTCTTAATCTCAGGGTTGTGGGTTCGAACCCCATGTCAGGCAAAGGTTTCCTGTATTGCAGGGGCTTTGGACTAGATGACCCTTGGCTTCCCTTCCAACTCCATGTTTCTATGAATAGAAATTTTGCACCTGTTATTTTGAAAGATTTGTATACGTGTTGTCCTTGTATAAGTTCCGTTTCAAGCTGTCATGATGCATAAGTGCAAGGGAACAGGGAACATGAAGTGCCTGGGCTTCCTGTTGAAGAAGAGAAGAGTTTGGATTTGATATCCTGCTTTATCACTACCCTAAGGAGTCTCAAAATGGCTAACAAGCTCCTTTCCCTTCCTCCCCCACAACAAACACTCTGTGAGGTGAGTGAGGCTGAGAGACTTCAGAGAAGTGTGACTGGCCCAAGGTCACCCAGCAGCTGCATGTGGAGGAGCGGGGAAGCGAACCCGGTTCACCTGATTACAAGTCCACCACTCTTAACCACTACACCACACTGGCTCCCTGTGTTGAAACCACTTACAAATCATCCTTCATAAGTCACCCCAGATAGCACTTCCATTTTATCCCCAAATGCCCTATGAGCTGATTTTTTAATAATGATGATGATGATGATGATGATACAGCTCCAAAACTGCTGACTCTTGAGCAAATCCACTACATCAGTGAGGCTGGGAGCAAGCCCCTTAGTGGGACTTACTTCAGGGTAGATTGGATTAAATGACCTGGTTGCATTGCACTGTAATATTTTGGATTAAATGACACAGTTTAAATGATATCAAATAATATCTTTTGGGGGATTTTTTTTTTACAGCCACAGCAGGCGCTGTAACTCTCCAACGGTATGACTTTACCCCCCAAAGCACACTTTTCCATTGCTTCCCGAGACACACCGATTGCAGGAACATAGTGTGGTGTAGTGGTTAGCTGTCAGAGACTGGGCAGAGGAGGAATAGTGGAGACCGCCTTCCCAGCCCGACCTTTCCAGTTTAGATTTACAACAGGGGTTTGAAGGAGGTCACAGCTCAGAGGCAGATGAGGGGAAAAGCTGAGAAATCATGGGATACCCGGAACAACATCTGGCTGACATGTCATTAGAAAGCATTCCAGACCCTCCATCTCCCAGAACCTGGCGAGCCTTGAAAGTAGGAGAGCAAAGAGCTCAAAGACAGAAGGCACTTTTCAGCACTTGTAGGAGAGACATTGAGCTTGACGAATGAGGAAGTGGAAGAGACAGGGGGCGGGGCGGGGCGGGGCTGGAGATTCACTTGGGACAATGCCATTATCCAAGAGGCTGGGTTTTATAGTCTCTCTCTGTAAATACTGAATATAGGTAAAAATGTTTCATCTTTATACATTCCTGGGCAACCAGCCCTGGAAGTCGTTGGCAGCAGCCTGACATTAGCGTGTTGGACTAGGACCTGGGGCAGCAGGGTTTAAATCCTTGCTCAGCCATGAAACTCACTGGGTGACCTTGAGCCCGTCACAATCTCTTGCAAGGTTGTTGTTAGACTCAAATGGGGAGGAATAGAACCACCTATGCCTCCTTGAGCTACGTGGAGGAAAGGTGGAATATGCATGTGATAAATTAACACCAGCTGCTTAAAGCAGTTAAACGAAACCAAGTACCGTATTTTTTGCTCTATAAGACTCACTTTTTCCCTCCTAAAAAGTAAGGGGAAATGTGTGTGCGTCTTATGGAGCAAATGCAGGCTGCGCAGCTATCCCAGAAGCCAGAACAGCAAGAGGGATTGCTGCTTTCACTGCGCAGCGATCCCTCTTGCTGTTCTGGCTTCTGAGATTCAGAATATTTTTTTCTTGTTTTCCTCCTCCAAAAACTAGGTGCGTCTTGTGGTCTGGTGCGTCTTATAGAGCGAAAAATACGGTAGTTATTGCTATAAACTCTGCATGCTCTTCAGTAGCACCGATTTATGAAGTCCCCTCCTTCTCCTCATCTAGGCCATGCTGAAAGCAGCATGTGGTTTGAGATGCATGGTGCGGCATTCACCAAGAGACATTGCGTCTAGTGATGCCATCTGGCCAGGATTTAGGGGGAGAATTTCAGGTCCCCAGTCAACAGAATGAGCGGGAGGGTCCCAAAACAAAGTACAGCTGGCTCACCACATTTTGAAATGGCCGTATAAAAAGCTCCCCCCTCGATGGATAAAAGAACACTAAGACAGAATGTAACGCCACCTAACCGCACATCTGGCTGCACAGAATGCTGGAGCTCATCTTTCTGGTTGCCTTGCTGCAGCTGCCATTGTTTGCAGGCCAAGGATTGCACTCCATAGTAGGGTTACCACTACTTCTGGATATGAAGTTTCAAGAGTGTAGCTTCCTTCTCAGAATCCCCAGAAGTAGATTTAAGGATGGGTTTTCCGAAGCTAGGGAGGAGGCTGTTTTCTGGTTTTCTCTGATGTTTTTATATGGGCTCCCCCTCCATGTCCACCAGGCACCAAGAATGACCCAGAAGACACAGGCCAAGGTCTGCCCCATGGGAAACTAGATGACGTTTCCTGCCATATGCTGCTGGGGTTTCCCCCTTCTACAGAAGGCGCCATCTTTTCGGTCCAAAGTTCAATCTCCAGGACTTGTAGGGTTTGAATTACAGGAAAACCAGCAATTCTACTCCCGGGTCCCCTCCGATGTCACGAGAAATAATGGTTTCTCGTATTACAAATGACTTGGGGCTTTGCCCTTGCATTGGTTCCTTCTATTGCCTCGTCAGTGTATTGATTCTCTGTAAAAAAATATTAGGGGGAATGACACCGGGTTAGGCTCAATTTCTGACATCTAAAATAAGACCTGGGTGCAGGCCCCCAGAGAGTCTTTCCAGGACACTAACAATATGCATGGTCTTGACCTTCTGTCTGCAACCAAGTTCTTTTCCTAAGAGTTGCTTGTTATATGTGAAATCTTGTAATACGGTAATCTTAAATTATGCACGCAACATTTTATTCCAGAATCAACGGAGACTAAGCATTTGGGGTTTTTTTTATACATACCCCATAAACAATCTACTTGTAGTGCAATTTTTATTTTATTTTGCCTTGGAAAAGGCCTTCTGGAGAAGCTGGTTCCATTCTGAAAATAAGAGCTTGTTGTAGAATGATACTGCATTACCTTGCTGTGTGTTGATTTGAAAACAGATGTAAAAAAGAAAAAAAGAAAAGGTAAAGGACCCCTGGATGGTTAAGTCCAGTCGAAGAGACTATGGCACTCATTTCACTTTCAGGCCTAGGGAGCCAGTGTTTGTCCACAGACAGCTTTCCAGGTCATGTGGTCAGCATGACTAAACTGTTTCTGGCACAATAGGAAACCATGATGGAAACCAGAATGCACAGAAATGCTGTTTACCTTCCCAGCGCAGCAGTACCTATTTATCTATTTGCACTGGCATGCTTTCAAACTGCTAGGTTGGCAGGAGCTGGGACAGAGCAACGGGAGCTCACTCTGTCACAGGGATTTGAACCGCCGACCTTCTGATCGGCAAGCCCAGGAAGCTCAGTGGTTTAGACCACAGTGCCGCCCGCGTCCCAACAGATGTGGGTGGTCCTGGCAATGGTGTGTCTATGTATCCGCACTTGCCTGATGACATTGTAGGTGGGTTGTGTACTAAGATCTCAACTGCTATTTCCTTCATTCACCTGGGACATGTGCAGGGCAGAAAGGGCAGGAGTGACCCAATTAACGGGAGAGGTTTCAAACACATACCAAGTAACCACACCTACTCTTGTGAATGGCAGGATCTAGATCCATGGTTCTCAAAGGGTGAGGATGGAAGTGCAGTCAGAAGAATCAAGAACGAAGAAGCATTTCAGCATTTCAGTATAGTATAGTACAGAATTTTATTTATTTATTTGCGGAATATGGATAAATACCTTTTCAGAATATCTTTTCTGAGAAATATGAAAGATCAGGAAAGACAAAGGCTTCTTTGTGTTAATGAGGAAATGAGGGTTTGTTTGTCACAAATTACACACAATATAAATGAGATTATCCGGCAAAAGCAAACACACCTCTCACTGAGTTTGTCTACATGCTTAAAGTACATAGGTAAGAGGCTTGTTCATAATCAAATTTTGGGAATGATTTGCATTCTTATGTAGCTGCATTGTTTTGTCTCGTGATCATATTCTAAAGTAGCTGTGTTCTGTGTTATAAATCAAGCAATGCTAAGAGTTGTTCCTTATTGTTTTCCAATGTATTTATATTGGGGAGGGGGAATGGATTTGGTGTGAGCAAATTTTTATTTTGTGGCTGGGACAACCTAGTCCAGGCATAGGCAAACTTGGCCCTCCAGATGTTTTGGGACTACAACTCCCATCATCCCTAGCGAACAGGACCAGTGGTTAGGGATGATGGGAACTGTAGTCCCAAAACATTTGGCAGGCCGAGTTTGCCTGTGCTTGACCTAGTCAGATGGCTAGGGTACAAATAAAATACTGCTGCTACAACAACAACATTTCTGAAAGGGTGGCCCAGAGAAAAATGTTTTGAGAACCACTCATCTAGAATCATTCTAGCCTGAATGTAGCATATCGAAGATGAGCATGACTAATTCTAAGTTGAGAAATACTACAGTTTTGTGCTACGAAGAGGTTAGCTGCCCTTGAGGCTGACCCAGAAACTCCAGCGGGTGCAGAATGCTGCGGCAAGACTCCTTACAGGGTCCTCGCTGCGAGATCACATTCACCCGGTGCTATACCAGCTGCACTGGCTCCCAGTGGAGTACAGGATCAGGTTTAAGGTGCTGGTTTTAACCCTATACAACCTAGGACCCTCGTACCTACGGGACCGTCTCTCCTGGTATGTCCCACAGAGGAACTTACGGTCTTCAAATAAAAACATCTTGAAGGTCCCAGGCCACAGAGAGGTTAGGCTGGCCTCAACTAGAGCCAGGGCTTTCTTGGCTGTGGCTCCGATCTGGTGGAACGCTCTGTCACAAGAGACCAGGGCCCTGCAGGACTTGACCTCTTTCCGCAGGGCCTGCAAGACAGAGCTGTTCTACCAGGCCTTTGGTCAGGGCACAGCCTGACTCCCTCCTTTGG